ACCCTCAGATTTTTTTAACATAAAACAATACTGTAATGTGCGCCTTACTGTAATCCATGGTTGTTTCCCTTCTCTTTGCTGCTCTTCCTTTTAAATCCTTATCTCTTCTCATGCTGGGGGAGAACTTCCCTTTGCAGCAGACTCCTTCTTCCTGTAGTGCTGGCTCAGGTTGTGAACCTGCACACAGACACCATGTATCCATTCCAGAGACAAGACAGTCTGCTGCAAAACAGAAGTTCTGCCCAGCATGAGAAGAGATAAGGATTTAAAAGGAAGAGCAGCAAAGAGAAGGGAAACAACCATGGATTACAGTATGGCACACATTACAGTATTGTTTTATGTTAAAAAAATCTGAGGGTTTAATGTCACTTTAAGGTTGAACACTTCAATAACAGCAAAAAAAAAAAAAACACTCCCTAACATTTCTATTTACCTCCACAGCGAGCACTGTGCACCTCTTAGAAGAACTCGGTTGACTTTGCTCCTTCGGAGGGTGGAGCGGAGCTGTGTAATGTGATATTAAAGCAAAGTAACAACTGGTTTGGACTGACTGCAGTTTCGACTTTCAACACTTAACTCGCTCCTGCAGCACAGAAGGGAAAAGACGGAAATATTGACACGGCTCAAAGTAAGTAGCTGCTGAACTCAATACTTTATTCAATACAAATGTGCACAATGCACGCTGAGTACCTGCACAGGAAGACAAGATCGCTTCTTGACTCTCAGATTTTTCCATTTGTAGGGTGGGGCGATTATTTAAATCTGAACTTGAGGAAAATAGTTTTTAAAAAAACACAACAAAGAAACATATATGTACAGTACATGCCAAATGATTTGCATTTCTCTCCATCCAGTCTTGAGATTTACGCAGCTCTGGTGCACAGTCCTGTCTGGCAGGGGAGGAGACCTGATTTTCCTCTGCTGCAGTTAAGTAACACTTATAGATCTTGTCCCTCCCCCAGCCTGTGACTGGGCAGTGAAAGGAGAAGCAGCAGACTGATGAGCTCATCTCTCTGAGCATGCCCCCCGTGTTAACACATGAGCACCACAGCACACCTGATTGGCTCCTTGTGCTGCTTCTCCGCCTCCCAGTCAGAGCTCTGCTGAACAAAGGAATGTGGAAGGCTGATATAAAAGCAAATTCAGGTACCTGCGTAGCACAAAATACATTTATTTATTATCATTATTATTTTACAAGGATTATATTGCGCCAACACTTTGCGCAGTGCTGTACAACATGGATAGAGTCAGTACAGTTACAATTGCAATACAGGGGGGTTATAAGGACCCTGCTCGTGAGGGCTTACAATCTAGTTTAACCACTTGTCATCCGCCTATTGTGAATACACGGGCGGACGGTAACCTCTTCCCAGCGGGTGGACGTACATGTACGTGATTTTTTTTTCTATGGGCGAGCAGGAAAAAAAAATGCTGGAACAAAATCCTGCTGTGTATGTAAACAGCCGGTACCGGCTGTTTCATACAAGTGTTTGGCTGGCTCTACAGCCGGCCGATCACTTGTATGACAACATACAGTGTGCGCCCCCCCTCCGCTGCC